TCATAGACAGTCAGGGAGGCATCAAAGTCAAATCTATAGAAAACTAGGCTGTTTTGCCGGGCGTCTGGGTACACAACTTGGGCCTGGACACCCCCCCCCGGGTGCCCCGCCGGGCATGAACCCGAGGCAGGTGACGAGTTCGGATCCTGGTGGAATCTGATAAATACAGGAATGGTATGGGCTACCCACTTTTTTGGAAAACAAGACCTGCGTTTCTTTCCTGAGAGGAATAAAAGGACAAATTCCAGAGAACAAAATGTCGAAGTTGCAAAAGTGATGGGTAGGTAAGAGCAGTCTCGCAATGCCTCAGGAGGTTACGACTGTCTTGACTCTTGACGCAAAAATAACGCCCGGGCGTCGTATACGAACGTAACGCCCAGAGGGTGTTGTATTCGTTAAAAACGCCCGGGCGTTATATTCGGTAAATTGGTGGCAACTCCGGTGGGGCCCCAAATCAAAAAAAAAAAAAAAAAAAAAAAATCTATAAAAAAAAATGTTGTCTAGAATTGCTATGCAAACAACTTTTGGCTGAGGTTCACTTCAAAATTCCTTATAAATTCGGAAATAAAAGAAGAGAAAAAATATGCAAGGAGGGGATGCCCTTACTGCCCACCCTTGCAGCCCACAACCTTGGAAGCCGAGACCCCTTTCTACCCCCTTTAAACCATGAGTACCTACCGGTTGTGGCGGCCGGTACCGCGGAAGCCGAATTGGCCTGCCGCTCTGGTCCAAATTCATTCGAGGCTGGGGGGGTATGAAAAATGTGGTAGGTACTGGTGGTTTAAAACCCATGTATAACCTCCTTCCCCCGCTTTAAAACCCATGTATATTCCCTCTACAAGGCAGTCTGCCCATGGCACATTCAAATAGCCCGGGCGTTCTATATAATATAACGCCTGGGCATTATATTCGAACGTGCATTCTATTCAAAAAAAGTGAGTGAAAACAAAAATCTGTTTTTAAAAAAAAAGGCAAGTTGAATATAATGCCTGGGCGTTATTTTCAGGTGAAGACCGTCCACACACACACTCACACACGCACACAGCCGTGGAGGCACACAGGGATGTGGCCAGCTGCCGCTCAACCACAATCAACGTGGGCAGCCTTGCGCGTAAGAGGCACAGTAAAAGGGGAGCTGCAAGAACAATGAAAGGGGTACCCCAAGAACAACCAAAAAACTGTCTAATTATAAAATTGCTTTAATATGTTGGACATCTCAAATGCTCTCGTTGTCTGCAATAGGACAAAGACTGCTTTGATTCTGAATCTATTCACCTGGGTGGAATTGGGGCTGTTGTGGGGAAAATCTAAAACACACACACACACACACACACACACACACACACACACACACACACACACACACACACACACACACAGACACACAGTGTTTGCTGTGGGTGCCATTCCCATGGGCTCTGCTCTTTTGGAGCACATGGAAGAAACAGGAATTTCCGCGGTGTGTTAAGCAGTAGCCCTTCTGGTGACGTGTGAAGATCTTGTGGTCTTTGGGATTATGGTAGTCTATAGACTCTATACATTCCAGAGGCTATACAGCAGATGGGAACTATCTAGCCATGGAGTGATAGAGATAGCGGTCACGTGAGTGGGTCTTTTCGGAGGAATAGGAGTGCCAGTGCTGCTGTGCTTGTGGGCTGACTCGGAGGGCTCTCCCAGTTTTTTCGGACTGTTGCGGGCTCTGGTCGGTGATTTCTTGTTAGGTCTGTTGCCTTCTGCCCTTTACCGCTGTTTTTTTACATTGAAAAAATTATATATACATTTGTGCAAGTGCCGCTTTGGCGGCAGACAGGTGTGTGGGCACTTCCAGCTCAACCACTCAAACGTGGGAACCTTGCACCTTCTATTCCATTGCTCATCTATACTCTTTTTGTTTATGGATGGTCTGTGATGATATGTGGATGGAATGAGAGAGAGAGTCTGGGGATGTTCACACATGCACACACATATGGGTCAGTGAAAGCTGGACGAAACTGTCTGGTGCAGTGATGCTTTTTTGTTTCGGAGTTGTGTACAACGAACATGACAACACACACACACACACACACACACACACACACACACACACACACACACACACACACACACAGAGAGAGAGAGAGAGAGAGAGAGTTTTGTAGAGCGAACGTGACAACAGAGAGAGAGAGAGAGAGAGAGAGAGAGAGAGAGAGAGAGAGAGAGAGAGAGAGAGAGAGAGAGAGAGAGAGAGAGAGAGAGAGAGAGA